GCCCCCCATAGCCCCCTGTGCCCCCATAGCCCGCCTATAGCCCCCTATAGCCCCCATAGCCCCCCTATAGCCCCCCCTTAGCCCCCTGTGCCCCTGTAGCCCCCCATAGCCCCCTATAGCCCCCCCATAGCCCCCCCTATAGCCCCTGTGCCCCATAGCGCCCCCGCTGGGGACCCCGCGGCGCTGCAGGCGGCGCTGGAGGAGCTGCGGGAGCACAACCGGGACCTGCGGGAGCACCTGAGCCAGCGGCTGGGCCAGGTGGGGACACCTGGGGGGACATGGGGACACCTGGGGACATCTGGGGACACCTGGGGACATCTGGGGACATCTGGGGGGACACGGGGACACGTGGGGACACCTGGGGACACCTGTGGGAACACGGGGTGGCAAGTGGGGGACAGGAGGTACCCATGGCAGGGGGGTGCCTGGTGACACACGTGGAGGACAGGTGGGACATGGGGACACCTGCGGGGACACCAGGGGGGAGGTGGGCAGGTGGGGGTGCCGTGGGTGCACCTGTGGCTCCACAGGGACAGGCAGGGGCGCACCTGTGGGCACCGGGGGGACAGGTGTGGGTGCCATGGGGCCAGGTGTGGGTGTCACAGGGACAGGTGTGGGTGCTGTGGGGGCCATGGGGCCAGGTGTGCATTCCCTAGGGCCAGATGTGGGTGCCATGGCTGCCCCAGAGCCAGGTGTGGGTGCCATGGGGCCAGGGGTGGGTGCCATGGGGCCAGGGGTGGGTGCCATGGGGCCAGGGGTGGGTGCCATGGGGCCAGGGGTGGGTGCCATGGGGCCAGGGGTGGGTGCCATGGGGCCAGGGGTGGGTGCCATGGGGCCAGGGGTGGGTGCCATGGGGCCAGGGGTGGGTGCCATGGGGCCAGGGGTGGGTGCCATGGGGCCAGGGGTGGGTGCCATGGGGCCAGGGGTGGGTGCCATGGGGCCAGGGGTGGGTGCCATGGGGCCAGGGGTGGGTGCCATGGGGCCAGGGGTGGGTGCCATGGGGCCAGGGGTGGGTGCCATGGGGCCAGGGGTGGGTGCCATGGGGCCAGGGGTGGGTGCCATGGGGCCAGGTGTGGGGGCCATGGGGCCAGGTGTGCATTCCCTAGGGCCAGATGTGGGTGCCATGGCTGCCCCAGAGCCAGGTGTGGGTGCCATGGGTCCAGGTGTGGGTGCCATGGGTCCAGGTGTGAGTGCCATGGGTCCAGGTGTGCGTGCTATGGGGATGGGTGTGGGTGCTATGGGTTCCATGGGGCCAGGTGCGGGTGTAGTTATGGGTGTCCCGGTGCCAGGTGTAGTTTGGGGGTGTCCTGGTGCCAGGTGTAGTTATGGTGTCCCAGTGCCAGGTGTAGTTTGGGGGTGTCCCGGTGCCAGGTGTAGTTATG